GTGGAACGGAAATACACGCCAGTACACCGAAAATATCAAAATACAGAGAGGAGTCCGCCAGGGTTGCGTGCTGTCCCCACTACTTTTCAATGTCTACAGTGATCGGTATTTTAAGAAGCGCTCTCCTCAGACTCAATAGAAGGTATATCTATCAATGGAGAAGTTTTGAATAACTTACGTTTTGCAGACGATACAGTAATAATTACGGATAACAACAATGATTTACAGACCTAATGCAACGCCTTAATGAATGCTGTCATGAGTACGGACTGAAGATAAATTTAAAGAAAACTAAATGCATGATCATGACTAAATCTGCACAAATATCCAATTGACTATTGAAGATACTGCAATTAAGAGTGTTAATAACTATAAATACTTAGAAACATGGATAACATCAGATGTAGACCAAACCAAAGAAATTAAGACACGTATTGAAATAGCATGTATAGTTAGCACCGACTTTCTATCGTCCGTCGGCAAATTCAAACAAAAATATAACTTCCAGATCATAGTTTACCACCTTTAGTCCAGACAAATTATTATATGCATTTAATATTTTTTTTGACTACCAAAAATGAGATGTTTTGACCAAATAATGCTTCAAATATAATGTGCAGTATAATTTTGAATTACCTTCCGCTAATGAACTTGCTTTTTTATCCTTAAAAGTAGAAAAAAGTTTCAATTATATTGCTTAATATTTCGTATAAATATAACCGTCTAACAATTTTAACTGTACTAATGCCCAAGTATCAATTTTCAAGTTTTAAACGGATTGATTTACGACGTTTGCAATCCTGTTGTAAAAATACCGGCATGTGCCTGATCTAAGGGACAGGACTTGTAAATTTTTAGTTTAGTTGTATCTTCACAACTAGCTTTTTATAGATGTGCATTGTGCATTGCTTTAATTTTAAGTTGTGTTGAAATTTCATTGTGATTAGATATAATAATTTTAGTATTTTTTGTTGTTTGTTTTTTTGAAACTGTTTATTTGTTTATAAAGAAAATGTTTAGACCATGGGAAAAATCGCCTACAGTTTTTTCGTGCATGGGAGCAAGAGAACCCAAGTAGTAGTAGAGAAAGTATAGTAGTCAACAATCTTTTAAGTGTAAGTGATACAAAAAACAATGACACTGAGACTGTAACTGTAGAAAAGTGTTTAAGACTTCCAAAGAAAAGAATTGTTTTGAATGAACAATCTAAGAGCATTTGTATGAACGTTTACAAAAATCTTCAAAATGATCCTGAAAATAGTTGTAAAGGCAGTATTATAAGAAAAGCAGCCTTTCTAACCGGAATTCCGTATTCTACTATGCGCGACATCGTGAAAAGTGGTGTTTAAAAAGAGAAAAAGAAGATCGGATGCTGGAAAACCTAAACAAATTAATATCGTGACTGCTAAATGTTTAAGGAATTTGGTTTTACGAGGAATACAAAAAAAATGTAATACCAACAATTGATATTATATACACCAAGCTTGTTGCGATGGGAAGGAGCTGCCCTAAAACCACTTTACGTAGGAGGCTGAAAAAACTTGGGTTCAAATACAAAATCGTTGATAAACGGGTGGCTATTATGGAAAGTAAGAGGATAGTACACTGGCGTTTAGATTATTTAAAAAAAATTCAAGAATATCGAGACCAACAGCGGACTATATATTATTTAGACGAGACATGGTATGACACGCATGATACCGCTAGTAAGGGTTGGACTGATGGTTCACTTCGGTGCCAGTTAAAAGGAGTACCTCCGAATAAAGGTTCTCGGATGATTATTGTGCACTGTGGATCTTCAAATGGTTGGGTGCCAATGGGTTAATGCTTTGTGGAAAAAAAAATAGAAAAATGTAGTGTAGATTATCATCAGAATATGAATTCTACTATATTCGAAGAGTGGTTTAAAAATACATTACTTCCCAATATAACACCGGGCAGTGTGATAGTTATGGACAATGCTAGTTACCACTCAAGGCTTCTCAAAAAAATTCCCAACAGTTCATCTTCAAAACAGGAACTAAAAGATTTCCTCACAGAAAATGATTTGTATTTTGAAGACAACTATAATAAGAAACAGTTACTTGAAGTACTTCGTACTAAAACTTATAAGAAACAATATATACTGGACACTATTGCAATACAACATGGCCATAATGTTTTGAGGTTACCACCTTATTTTTGTATATTCAATCCTATCGAACTTATTTGGGGACAAATAAAAAAAACGGATTCGGAGGAAGAATAGTTTTCCAAAATTTGACGCGAAAGTGGTCGATTTAATTCGACATGAACTATCAGAGATTACAAGTGCCGACTGGAAAAAAGCAGTAAACCGTGTAGTGAAAGTAGAAAATGAGTACAGAAGACTAGGACAATTATTTTCAAACAGTGGACAACTTATTATTAATCTGGTGGATAGTGACGATGATGAGAGCTCGCCTGCAGGAGAAATATTTTAGAAAAGGTACGCTAACATGATGATTATTTCAGTTAAAAACAACTCGGTTTTTCATTATAAATTGCTAACTTTGTTTAAAACAATATTTTCTTAAATGTAAAATACTTTTCCACAGTTTCGTCTATGTACGTCATCGTTTAAACGCTAATGGGGATTTTCAACGGTTCTCATATATTTCAGACACTTATGATATGTCGTATAATTTTAATATATCTACATCATACGTTATTGGTATATAGTATATACCAATAACTGTACATACAAAAGACGTATGACATAGATATCTTAAAATTGTATGACCCATAACAAGTGCCTGAAACAAATAGGAAGCGTTAAAAAGCCCTATAGTAGATGCCGTTGTATCAGCTAGTATTTTTTCCGACAGGGTGGTAGAGTGATAATTTTTTTGCGTTTCACTTTTAACCATTTAAAAAACAAAGAAATATAACGTTTTGCTTGTTTTTCCAAAATCAGATTTTCTGCTCTTTGACTATAATTATACACATTACACATTGTTATGTTATGATTTAATACTTGTATCAAAAAATTTGTGTCGATGAAAAAACGAATATCGCGATACGTCCCTGGATATCGGTTACTCGAATTTCATAACATACAAATATTATCTGTTTGACTTTGCCGACGGACGAAATATCATTGGACTCGACTATACATCATTTATTAAACTTAAAAAGTTTCTTTGTTGTCGGGATATAAGGTTAGAACTACGCCTGAGAATGCTTCGATGTTACGTGTTCTCTACTCTGCTTTATGGTCTGAAAGCTTGGACACTAAAACAAGTTCATCTGAATAAGTTGGCCGCCTTTGAATTTTGGTGTTACAGAAGAATCCTACGAATATCATGGATTCAAAAAATGTCAAACATTGAAGTAACTAGAAGGATAGGAAATGAGGCAGAAATAATATTTAAATGAATGAATGAAATAATAGTAATAATAGAAATAATATTAACTATTAAAAGACGAAAACTTGAGTACTTGGGACATGTGATGAGAGGGCAAAAATACGCATTATTACAACTTATTATGCAGGGCAAAATCCGAGAAAAGCGAAATGTGGGAAGACGAAGAATATCCTGGCTTAAGAACTTAAGGGAATGGTTTGAATGCAGTAGTGCGACCTTTTTAGAGCGACAGTCAACAGAGTCGGCATAGCCATGATGATTTCCAACCTTCGATAGAAGATGGAACTTAAAGAAGAAGAAGTGAAACGGATTGCCTCTTCTAACTCAGTCATTCTTTTTAACCTGTAATAGGTGAAGTTCTACCTAGTTTCCACGTCTTGGATTGGCCGTTTGGGAAGTTTGTTAGGTTGTAATTAATACTTTAAAAGCCTTTCTGAAGATAAGGTACTTTTTTTTTAATGTTTTTTGCAGAATTGTCGAAAAAAGGACTTTTTATTTTATCTATTATCAAATCAGTTTTGACATAACATTCCTGAAGTAATGAATCTAACAGTTTTTCTTTTTGGCGGTTTATATCCAGGAATCCACCCTGCAAACTTTTTAAAAGCTGGTTCTTCACCTATAGAAAACGGATGAAACGAGTCTTTGCATAAGTTTAGTGAATCAATAAGTTTAGTCAAGAAAAGAAACTGATAAAGATGACTTAAGTCCATTGTGTATTTTTGATGAATTAATTGGACATGACTCATCTAAACATACAACTGTATCGAGAGATATACAAGAAGTCGACATGTATTTGTCTGATAATATATTACCCACAATAAATTTCGAACGAAGATTGGAACTGTCCATTACCGTGGTGGAAAAACCATCGCCATGTATATCCTAACTTAGCCACTATATTCATAAAATATTGTAGAATTGTAACAAAATCTTTTCCTTGTGAACACATGTTTAAAATCTGGTTTAATTTTAAATAAAAGAAGAACACGGTTAACAAGAAAAGTAGAAAAACTTGTTTTTAAATGTCAATTTAGACGATTCGCGATTTAATAATAACGTGTAATGTAAATGTAAGTACGATTTAATGTAAATGTAAGTACTATTTGTATTGTTTAATTTATTTTTCAAGTTATAATAAATATATCCTTCGTTAGGTTCTTTCACTTCAATACTTATACACATAAACGATAATAGCCAATATGTTTGTGTACTCGCTAATTTGAATCAACTAGTTACAGTTTACGAAAAACGGTTCCGATAAAAATTTAAAAAACGGGAGGACCCACCTCTAGTTTTTTAGGTATATTAGGATCGGAACCAGAGAATATGTAAAATATCTCTGATCGGAACTATTCGTCTCACTAATGGCCAATAGGTGTTAAAAATATTTGAGGAGGGGAGATCAAGGGGAAATATGATTGTTATCTTTGTCTATTCGCTGAAAATATGATTTTATATCTGCGTTAGATATCCTGTTAAATTTTACCATACCGACCATAAAATTTTCCCTACACTGTATGTTCGTTTTTTTTTTATTACATTTAACGATATTATACAGAATATTAGAAAAAAAAGAATGGTTATATTGAATTAATAGTAATAATCACTCACCTGACCCAATAAAGTTGACGATTTTGTCATGATTATGCGATACGTGCGTGTATCCTTCGGGAGCTACGAACCTTGCTACGAAATTGTTGCAAACGTCATCTTGCAATAATTGTTCGTTCACGTCGAATCCGAACACCAGACCCGTAACTTCCTTATTTCCTATACCGCTCAGAATCACTACTGGAGGTGGCCGCTCGTCCTCCCCACCCTCACCCTTATTACTATTGCTATCGCTCACCATTGTTCGATCACTTTTATCACAGTCTACTTTATTTTTGTTGCTAGGTAGTGATGTCACAACTTCAGTGCATGTTTGAGTTGATTCCGATTGAGTGACGGGATGTGGGTGGTTCGTGCGGGGGACGTGTTGAGTGACGACGATTGGGGAAGGTATGTGTTGTGGCTGTTGCTGCTGTGGATGGCAGTTCATGAAATGCATTTTTTCAATGGTCTGGACATCAGGAATATTCGGGGGCAACATCTGAGCGTTGAACTGGATTGATTCTTTTTCATTTGAATGGAGTATCTGAAAAACATTTCAAAAGTTTCATAAACTACTACAACATGACATCCACATAGTTGTTAAGGTAACTAGAGTAAGTAGAAGTCACTGAATTGTTGATACTAATATTATACAATAATATTTAAATGTACTTTCAATTCGGCAAGGTAAAAAGCTCTTGGTTAAGCACTTATAAGGTATCGATACAGATTACAGACAAATTAATAAGATGGATGCGTGTCAAACAAAAACTTGAAATATGACTGTGGCTTTTTAGGAGAATTTTGAAGAGACCCTGGACCGATCATATCAGGAACGAAATGGTGTTGCACAGAATGGGAAGAGACAGAGAACTTTTAACCACCATTAAAAGTCGAAAGACAGCAAGCATATCTGATTATGAAGGGTAAAATAGAAGGAAAAAGGGGTACACAATAAATATCCCGACTGAAAAACATTCGCAACTGGACTGGGTTAAACACACAGACACTCTTAAGAAAAGCAGAAAATAGAGACGAATTTGCAATGGTTATAGCCAATCTTCATTAGTGGAGACGGCACTAGAAGAAGAAGAAATATGATTTTATCTTTAATTCATGAAGTTGTATAGATGAGATGTGTCTATTATTGATGTATCTGATTGGTACCATCCGCAGCAAACAAATTACTAGATATGACAACCGACCTTATCAGACTTCAAAAAGATAAATTCAAACCACAAGAAAGACTTTGATTCTGATTATTTTTTGTTTGTTAAAACAAGAGTTTAATTTACAACATCGAAATATCAACTAAAAAATAAGGAAAAACCCAGTGAGAGTGGAATAATTGCGAAGCTGCTAAAGACAGAAGGTGAAATGATACAAAAGAAAATACACCAACTTATATATGAAATCTGGGAACAAGAATAAACGACGGGGGACTGATTCAAAGCACTCACACAGTTCACAAAAAAGGGGCTTAGCTTGCTGTGAAAATTACAAAGGGATAGCTCTATTAAACATCTGTATGTATGAGCGGTTCAACATTACAAATTTTGTAATAGCACAAAAACTGTGATGGTTAACTGTGATGCAAAAGGATAGGGAAAGAATGCCAAAAATGGTCTCTTCACTGAAAAGAAATGGCGAACAACAGAGTTATATGGAGAAGAATTTTAACAGAAATTTATTACATAGAATAAGGTGCTTAATGAGACCAATAGGAACATAGTACATAGATTTAAGTACATTTTTTTTAAACTATGTGTTACCGTAAATTTCGTAAAATTTATGTATGATTCTAACAACCTTCTTTCAGTTATGGTGTGTTGTTGCATTTAAACTATCCTCAGACTTATTGTGTGCAATTTGAGACAGATTTGACAGTTGCCAGTATTGTATTAGCCAATTATGCATTGTCATAAAATTAAAAATTAATTATTTATTGAAATTTTGATTAAAAAACAAAACTTGTGCATTTGCTAATTTTGTATAAACTATTGTAAATTGGTTTGCCGGCAAAGACATAGTAGTTATACAATTTTAATTACACAGAAAATATCAACAATAACCTTGCAGCTTAGGATATAAAAAGAACGAGAATGAACAATGCCTTTCAAAGTGCTGAGTATAATGCACATGTCTACAAGTGCACAAGTTTCAAGTTTGTCAGAGGCACCTATTTTTATGGGAATGTTTTTAAAAGCAGAAAGACATGATTTTGGTTCTTTTTTAATGAAAATGTTATTTTAACAGTTAATTCATCTATATATCCACATTTCAAAGATAGATAACTTTTTTATAGGAGTGTTATGTCATGTTCCATGTTTCCACAACATAAGTACAGCTAAACTGGAAGTGTGTAACATTTTTAACAATCTGATTTCTACTGGTAGTGAACACCTTGATCGCCTTGATAAAACTTGACTTTGCAACTTTAATTCTGCATTTGAACTCTGTTGTCATGATAATCATTAAATGATCACAATCAATGGAATATGGGAAACAAATATATACCCAAAAAGGGGAAAAGGACTGGATGAGAAAAGAGATGGAGAAAAGAACTGAATGTTTAAAAAAAAAAAAGGGTACTTTTGGGAGAATAAAGCAGATGAACCATACAGATCGGCAAAATATCTCGAAGACAAATGACAGGGAAACAATAGCAATAATCTAAATACAATGAAGAAAAAACCAAGGGCAAAAATAAGGACTCAATGAAGAAAAAAAAAGGTAAAAGAAGCAATAAAGGAACTAGAAAATAATAAATGCACATTGTCGGCAGATATATTGAAAGAATTAGAAATAAGATCAGAGAAAAACTAGCTGGTTTATTGTAGAAGGATGGCTAATTTAAAAAATGAGATAGATGGGGCATATCTTGCAGATGCTAAACAAAAGGAACAACTTAAGAATATCAATAAGCCAAAGATAATGAACATTTGGAAAGTATCATGTCTTAAGATCAGTTATGCTTAGCTAAATATTTTTTTACAATAATGTTACACTCACTAGATGAAAAGCAGCACAAGGTGTAAAGTTTGCCCATTTTCCTTCTCAATTTCAAAACACTTCAAGCATCCTCAGCATCATTCTTGTTCTTATTCAGAATAATTTGGTATAGTTTATATATTTTAATTGTTTTAAAAAACAGATTTAAGTACGAACAATTTTTAACCGCCGTCCTGGACAACTAAACTGATGACTTTGACATTTGGCGATTAGACAGTATTATGACATCTTTCACTCACGAAGAAATGACAGTTGGTTTTCGAATATTCAATTGTTTAGAGCCTGTGTGTGGTTAAACGCCAACCAATAAAATATCTGTTTGAATTCAATTTCAATTATTCAATATATCTTTGATTTCTTTGAGAAATAATTATGGATACACATTTTTGTCACTATCTAGTACACATATTAGAAAGAAATTTGGAACTAAAAAAGGGCTTTGAGAATCATAGCACTTGTACTTTGTAATTATATAATTACAATGACTTTTTATAAATTACTTTTTCTAATTATAGTTACAATCATTACCAATAAGTATAGGTAACTGGTGTTTTGTAAAGATATATAGTTTTCCAGGTTCCAGGAATGAGACACGTAGATGTTACTAGAAGAAAAGGAAATAAAGCTGAAATAATGTTGACTATCAAAAGAAAACTTCTTAAGAAAAAGAAAAGTACATGTGATGAGAGGGACAAAATACTCATTATTACTACTTATTACTCAAGGCAAAATTTGAGGAAAGTGCAATATGGGAAGACAAAAAATATTGTGGCTTAAGAACTTGAGGGAGTGGTTTGAAAGCAGTAGTGCAAAATTATTTGGAGCGGCAGACAACAGGGCGTTCACATAGCCATGATGATTTCCAATCTTCTGTAGAAAATGGAACTTAAAGAAGAAAAAGGGGAGTGTACACCAAATCAACCGGTTGATTTTACTGAAAGCGAATGAGTGGAATACTGTCTACTCTTTCATCGAAAAATTAATTAAGGGCTAAAAGGAAAGATGTACAAGGATGTGGTGAGACCAGAATTGGTATACAGTGGTGAATTGTGGCCTTTAGGAAAAAAAAGGATGTACAGTATTGTGCGAAATTCAGTTTTCATAAGTTTGCACACCTGCTGTGCCTATTCTGTAAACTGTTTTGTCAAAAACACAACATAACCTCAAAACCTTATTAGTATATTGTTCAAAACATGTGGTTTGTGTTTTATATCATTACTATATTTTGTTGTATCTCAGGTTATGTGCAAGTTGATGTTATTTTCATTGATTTAACTGTGCAATCAACTTTTTAATATGGATATCACTCTTAGGAAAAGAGAAAGGATGATACACTTAGTGAGCATACAACAATGACTCAGAGGGGCATTGCAAAGGAGTGTTGTGTAAGTTTGGGTGCAGTAAACAAAATAATTAAACAAAAAAAGGAAACAAGTGCAGCGGAAAGGAAAATGTGGAAGAAAACGAAAGACTACTCTTCGAGATGAAGCCTTTCTTAGCCTTTCTAAAAAATGACTAAATTAGGCAAAAATTCGCTCATTGGAGTGCAGAAGATTGGAGAAAAGTGTTATTTTCTGATGAGACCCACTTCCTAATGCATGGCCAGCGATTAAAATTCGTACAAAAGGCAGCCAATGAGTCACTTTCAGCTAGCTATATTAACCAAACAGTTAAACAACCCACCAAAAAAATGTTCTGGGGCTGTTTTTCATACTCAGGGACTGGCACTCTTATTCCTATTGAAGGTTTGATGAAAAAAAACAAAATTCTGCTCTTTGAAGGTACCAGAAGCAGCATATAGCAAAATAATGGGTACCACCTTAAAAAATCGAGGGCTACCCTTAAAAACTAAATATAACATGTTCCAGTGTTCTGTATATTTGGTTTTGTTTTACAAAGTGGAGGCTTGGGCTCTTTCTCAATCATTGTTGAAGAAATTGGAATTTGAAATTTGGTGTTACTGAATTGTTGAGAAACAAACATCATTCGTTGAGAATGTCATAAGAATTTCCTGGCTTCAAAATCATGTTAGTGTTCCATACAAAATTCAATAATGTGTGAATTGTTAGGATGGTCACCAGCACCGGAACAGAGAGCCACCTAGAGAAGAATGGTAAATAGTAACATAGTTTTAAGTTTGATTAATACGATTAAAAATGTTCATAATATTATTTACTGCGGTTTCTAATAAAACGGCCATTTCAATGACCAACGAAATATTTGTCACATAAGACTCTTTGCAAGCTACAAATGACATCACTGGCAAATATTTCATACTTTGGGTATAACATATGTTACTGATACAATTAATAATTTATCATGATATGATTAATAAATGGGACTGATCTTTTACCATTTTCTCTAACTTTTTGATAATTTTTTTAGCGTTATTTTTATTACATTAATAGTATTTTGATGTCTTTATAAGTGAAGATAAGTGATGCCTGTTGTAGTCAAACCATCGAGCAAAATGACAAAAGAGGGAATGTAAAGGTAGTGGGGACAAAAATATTGTTAGACAGGAACTGCTAGCCACTTTAAACAAGGAAAGCCAGTCTCTTTCCTTGTTTAAGAAATCAAATTTAGTTTGGTTATGTTATTTTTTGTCCCAATTGTCACATGAAATTTTATTTATGAAGTTTTTTACCAATTGTGTCACATTTTAGACTATTATCGTTAATATTTAATTAAAACTTTCTCGTCTGAAAAATGTTATAGCTATTGTTAATAAGTGTCAGAAAATTTAAATTTAGCGCCTTTGCATTTCCGGATATGTCCGCCATCAGAGGCCACTTTTTTGGTCTCCTTTTCATAACGATTAGATTCCCTCTTTTGCCTTTTTGCTCGATGAGTCAAACCCATATGGGCGTGCCAGACAAAACATTTTAGTACTTAAAGATGTTATAAATTAGTAATGAGCAGTAAACAAGATAACTTACCGACAAATCGTTTTGTATATCATTATGAACAACACCTATAGAGTTTTGCATAACACCACTTTTCACGTTAAGATTGCTATTGTTATTGTTAAATGTACCTCTGGAGGGGGCGGTTCTCGTAGTCGGCGACACGTTTCTCACTTTACCACTCACCGTAGTGTTTTTAACATTCGTCTTCTCCACATTTAATACTTTATTATTATTATTATTATTATTAACGGGAAAACTTTTCGTATTATTAAGGTCCGAACCGATGGCGTGAAATCCTTTAGCTGCGTTGTCTGTCGGCATTGCAGGAAATGATTTCGTATCGTTGACATCTGGTGGATATTGCCTAGTGTTTTCAGTGTATTGTAAGACAGGAAATATTGGTACTTGTGTCTCGCTGATGACGGGAGGGCTTTTGAGGACATTTACTTCGGCGGACATCGCTGGGAAATTTCTAGCGTCGTTGAAATCGGGCGGTTGGGCACTTTTCGGAAAATCGGTAGGTATGGCGGGGAGAGTTTTAGAACTGTGGACCTCTGGGGATTTTATGTTATTGTTAGTCACTGACGGAGGAGAATTTTTGTTAATGTTAGTAATATTTATATTGGATTTTTCCTTCTTAGTATTTGATTCAGTCTCGGGTTTGGGTGATCTGTCCTTGTTTGGCACTTTCTCGGGTTTTTCAGGAGTAGTTTTCTTCTCTTTACCTTTCTCGGTATTTTTGGCTATGTCTGCATACGATATAGGCACATTTATACCGTCAATAGGTAAAGAATGAACGGAATCTGCGTCTGAAGTGTCCGACTTTTCACTCTGAGGCACAGAAGAAGCAGATTTTCCACGGAAGTCCGGAGAAGGAACGCGATTTGAGTGCTGTTTGCCGTTGTTTTCGTACGTAGAATTTTGTGCCCTGCTGCCACTGCTGATGCTGTTGCGACGCTTTTTGCTCTTCTTTTTCGTTTTAGTGACAACCCAATTTTCAGCTGCTTCAAGGTTCTCTGTGGAGACGTTACTCGACAAAATTTGAAAAGATGGCGCCTAAAACGGAATAACCATTATTATTTAACTGTTAGAAGCAAATATTGAAATTATTATAATTATAGTCTATTTAGGCGTTCATAAAGTATACGTCATCACCTCATTTAAATAAAAAAACTTAATTATTAACCGAGGTAGCCACATATAACTAAAACAAAGATATATAAAAAATACAGCTTTGTCTGTGTTGCAGTTTTGTAACTTTTCATAAACTACTAAATAATTAACCTGCAACCCCACCTAAATGCCAGAAGTTCGAATCACAGGAAAAGATATCATCACTCGCTTTAAGAATTGAGCGACACTGGCACTAATACACCACTTAGAATTCCGAGATACAGTCATCCGAAGATAAACTAGCCGCGATCGCTACTCATCATCTGAAGCATCCTTTGAGTGTATGACTACTAATGGACTTGACAAGAACTTATCCAGAAATAGAAAACTGAAAATATGAAGAGTTGCAATCAGACCAGTAGTTACTTCCATACGCAGCTGAGACAATGTCCATCCATCCAATGGCACTACAGTCCAAATCGGGCCTTGGCCTCCTTCAACAAGTTTCTCCAATCATTTCGATTTACCGCTGTGCTTTTCCATGAATACGTTCCCAAGCAGTTCCTGGCATCCGCATCGACTTCTTCTTATCATCTCTTTTTAGGTCTTCCAACAGGTCTTTTTCCCTGCATTCTTGCATTTAGTAATTTTCTGGGGATTCTATTCTCATGCATGCGGACTACATGCTCTGCCCACCGTAATCTCTGCAGTTTAGTGTCTTGTGCTAGAGTTGGTTCGCTATATCGCTCGTATATTTCTCTATTATATCTAATTTGTCAGTTGTTGTTTTCACTTATTGGGTCCAGTATCCTACGTAATATTTTTCACCGTCCATGTTTCACAACCATAACTTACTATGGGCCTGATTATTGTTTTAGAGACCCGGAGTTTTGTTTTCCTGTGTACGTCTCGCGATTTGAATATGTGGCCCATCGCGAAATAGGCTTTATTTGCCAGCACAAGCCTTCTATTTATTTCCGGTTCTTCTTAATTGCTTGCGACCAGATCCATTCCTAGGTTATGTGAATCTATTCACATGTTCTATATCGTCAATAAAGTGTTGTTGCGCTGGTCTATTTGATCTGGTTTGTATGAGTAGTTTTGTGTTATTTGTACTGTACTGCTTCTGTACTCTGTTTCAACTTAACGGAGGTTTCTTCCGCTCCATTCACTGTTCTGCTCATTATGTTTATATCATCTGCGTATGCTGCCAATTGGGTAGATATTCAAGAACAAGATTAAAGAGAGTTGGAGCCAGTTCGTCGCCTTGTTTCAGTCCTTGCCTTATCGTAAACGCATCAGTGATCTGTCCTTGAATACATACCTGTGCTTCTGTTTCTGTCATTTTCATTTGCACTAGTCGTATTAATTTTGATGGTATACCAAATTCTTCCAATATATTAGATAGAATAGTTCTATCTATTCAATCTTAGGCTTGTTTAAGACAATGTGCCTCACAGATAAAGATGAAGAAACATTAAGAATATTCGAAAGGAAAACCCACAGAAGAATTATGGGATCAATAACAATGGAAAAACGGAGAAATGAGAAGAATGAACCATGCACTAAGAGACATAATGAAGGGAGAAGATATAGTTAAATTTATTAAAACACAAAGAATGAGATTAGTAGGACACATAGAGAGAAGGCAAAACGACCTACTGACTAAGAAGGTAACCAGATGGTCACCAGAAACTGAAAGACTAAGGGGAATTCCCAGAAAGAGATTAGAGGACCAGGTCATGAGAGATATTGAAACTGGAAGAAACTATGTACAGTTCGAAATCAGTGGAAGAAAATAGTAATTAAAGCCAAGTCATACGATAAACTCTGACAAACTACAAGAAGAATGCGGAGTGATTCACCACAATAAGCGAATCTGCGAGCTCTAAATAAGAATGGTAAACATTCTATCAGGAATGAAAGGCCTTGATGATGATGATCTTAGTAACTATTGATTTTGGAACCAATAGTTGTTGAGGTATATATATATATTGTTAAAAAAAAATTAAGCCCACTTTTGAGAAGTCACGCATAGTGAAATTATGGTTTCTAGTGATACTTGAAAGTGATTTATGCAAAAAATGACAACTTCAAAACATATGTCGCCTGATCTAACATATTTTTATATGAAACAAGTTACACATCTACTATTAAACAGTTTTATTTATCCACGATATTCGGTTCTAAATGATCAATAATCAATGACAAGTCCACAAAATGCATAGACACGATACTTATGGTTACCTTTTAATATCCAAAAAATTCCCACACAAATATATATACATTACAACTAGCATTTTTATTATCTTAAACTCGAATTAAAAACAAAAAAATTCCTTACCTCAACATTTCCCCACGATCTTCTTTCCTTTGGTCTATCGCTTTGGTACTTGTTCCCTCTCAAAACGACTTTATTTTCATCGTCGTTTTCAGGAGCAACAAAGGTAAAATCGTCCAACTTAGCAGTCGATATTTCACCTAACGAATTACTCTTCTTTATTTCAGACCTAGATTCTTTTCCTTTCGACGAATGAGCGCGCTGCTTTTTACAGCTACCACTGCTTCCTAAAACGATACAGAAATAAAATACATACTTAGATATTTAATAGAGTATTAAATAAAGATGTTGGTAAAACGTCCATCACGCAAGAATGTGAAAATTACGACCACAAGATGAATGATGGAATGTAGGATGTAGGGTAATAAAAGTAGAGTTACTGTTAATATATAAACATATTAATATTTTTAAGTACCTCGACCAGAATCTTCAGACGCATGTTGTTTGTGTAATTGTTTAGATTTGTGGACATTCGATTTTGAACTTTTGCCTGAAGGCGTATCAGTTTTATCACCACCGATGTACTGGATCAATTTGTCGACATCGTTTATTATGTCACTTCGATGGCCTTCAACCTAAAAAAAAAAAAAAAAAAAATACAATAATTAATAATGGACTACATTACTATAAATTACAAATTCTTCGACAAGTTTCTTTACTACTGCAAACAGAACAATAGAGTTTAATGATTATACAGAGTGAGTGATATAGGAATGTATCAAATGCTCGATGGAAAGTATTTGCTCCCGTAGTTTAATAATATACAGGGCTAGTTGTGAATTTTTTTTGGCCACAACTTTTGAATAGTAATTTCGAATTGTCTCATATTTTAGTAAAACGTTACATGACCACCACCTAATTAACTGTTTTACTGAAGCTAAAAAAAATCAGTGTGATCTTAAAAAATTTGTTGTTTTGTTCATATTAAAAAAATGCACCCGTAGGGTAAATGGAACCAAAAGCCCGCATGGGATAAAAATCCGCAAGCGATTGATTACCGCATGCATCGGTCAGTACAGTACCTTCCGAAAATATGAAGTAATTTTTAAATTTTGGTGTCTAATTTCATTTTTTAAACCATTCTTTCGAAGACTAAATCCTCTTTTTATAAAGGACGCACTAACTTGGTTTGCTTTGGCTTCAACCGATTCTGGATACATGAATCCAGTTAAGTTTCAGTTTTTTAGCACTTTCTCAAGTAAACAAATTCTACGCTGAAAGCCCCATCCCATTAATTTTGGATAACCACATATCTCATACTCTGGAGGCCACCATTTTCGTAAAAAATAATAATATTCACTTGCTCACATGCTTTCCATCTCATAGCAGTCATCAAACTTAATCAATGGACATAAACTTTTTTAGACTATCAAGGCTTACTGTGATATCTAATATTCGGCAAGTGGTCACAGAAACCACGTCGCTGGATTATTCAAGTAGGCACATGAGAAAACTAGCTGTAGAGTAGAAATAGCTGTTCATGGGTTTAAAATGAGAGACATTTTCTCTATAGATAAAAATATCTTTACTAAAGAAGATTTTTACCTTCTTCAGTAACTTAACATATGCAAAAAGATGTAGATGTTATTTACCGGAATATATTGGTTACATAGGGCCCAAATTATACAATTGAAGACCTTATTGCAACATAATGATAAGCCACAATTTTACAGAATTCTATTTTATTGCATTACGTATTTAAAGAAAGCTATGTTAAGCCACACAAAAATTATTTGGTAACTATTGCAATAGATGGCGAAGTTATTGATAAATCGTGTTTATGCAATCGTCCGTTTCTGTTCACTTTTTCGCGTAAACCGTGGTCACGTAAAGTCACGTCAAAATGGCGTCGTCATCAGGTGCACGTGCTGAATTAAGAGCGGTTTTAAGCGAAAATAGCACTTTAAATGTAAATTTTATTAACGATAGTGATGATAGTGTAGCAGATAAAGACTTTAGGCCCAGTAGCGATGATTTTTCGTCTCAATCTAGCGAGGTAAGCTTTTTTTCTAATTTTTTGGCTTACTATGTTTTTGTTCAAAAATATTTCGTATATATTACATGGAAAAATATGGTATGCCATGTGCCCTATCGAGTTGTTGATATAAAAATTCTGAAATATTCGCAAAGTCTAGAGTCTAATGCAGTCATTTTTTGTTGTATTTTAGGATGAATTGCAGGAACCAATACTAAGGCTTTTTGAAGATAAGCAGGTAAATCCAGAGAAGAGAAAACCAACAAGATGGAGACAGAGAAATGAGGAACACTATGATCGAAATGACAGAAAAAGAAGCCGCAATTCTGGACAGTAGTATACTTCGAAGAAAAAAAAGACTATTTTTAGTTCACGTGAAATTAACGAACCGTGTGAATGTAAAAATAAATGTAGGGAGAAACTGCAAGGTAATGATGAACATTTATTTAAGAAATTTTGGGAGTTGGCTCATTCGACCTTCAAAATAGCTATCTCTTTGGGTGTATCAGAGTAAAAAATAAGAATAGATCGTATAAGAAAAATCAAAAACGCAACATTTCTAATAGAAAATTTAGCACTGAACATTTGGTTAATGTAGGAAAGATGGAAATTAAAGTATACAATACTGAATTTCCAAGTGTTCATGGTCTTCAAAAATCTCGTGGAAGAATTAAAAAATATTTTTAAATGAAGTCACTCAGTGCTATAGTTCCTATTCCTGATAAGAGAGGTAAACACACAAACAGACCTAATAAACATTCAAAGGAACATATTCAATCAGTAAAACTCATATTGAATCCATTCCCAAATACCAAAATCACTATAGCAGAGCCAAAAATATAAAAAAAGAATATAGTATATATAAGAAAAGAAATTTAAACAAATGACGCATCACTTTCTGGTTAGTGGTCATTATGTTATGCCATCAAGCGTCAGAGAAACCGTGCACCCATTATTTATTCGCCAGAAGCTTGGGTGGATATTATTACGAAAGCAAATAAAAAGAATCCTTTTGTTGTTACCCAGATGACCCAAAATGATTTTTACAGTTTTGAACCTCTTCTCAATAATAATAATAAAAATGCACGTTTTCCGGACAAGCAGAGCTTAAATTTTGCAAAATTATACAGCTTTCAATTTAAATCAGAAAAAGTGGGGTCAACTTTTGTCAAATATACTGTTAATGGAGACTATCAATAAGTTAATATCTTAAGGGAAGGCAGACCTGTAAAAATAGAGTTGTCAAACATTTTCAACAAATATAACGAGCCTCTGAAAATTACGAAAAATAAACTGGAAAATATAAAAAGCTTGTTACCTTATATTCCGCCAGTCTACCATAATTTTTATAATCAGTTAAAAGAAGCTTCCGACTGTGTGAATAAAGAAGTGGAAATTGTCGAAACATAACTTAGTTTATTTTTTTGTGTTACGATTTTTTTAATTTAAGAACATGTCAAACCACATTTTTTTCGAATAAACATCTTTTTTTATGTAAATATGTGTTTTTTTATGTGAAATAATAAATGCAGATGGAATTTAATAAATAACATAATTAAATAACAAGCGTTAAGGTTTCTTACATTTAAAGCAATATTTTCTAGATTTTTTTAAAACTTTAAACATCAATATCTCGGTTTTATTATTTTGTGACTTACCACTATTTTGCAAGAAGCTCTTCAATTGTCTACCGGAGAATTTAAAACAAATTAAAAATGAACAATAGTAATAAATAATAAATATCTAAATAGACTTTTATTATCAACTTCAACATATCTTGAATTTACCGCGTGAGTTAATATCATGTACTCACATTTGTGTCACATGCTACATTAAATTTAAAATGAATGTATTTTTGTAAGTGCTCATATGTAACTAACTATGTATATTTATACATTTGTTAAATATATATTTTTAAGTCTCGGGCACAAGGGGTACTACTTTTATGGTAGCTCTAATTCAGTGAGTTTTATATTATTTATTATATAAAGAGATTATTTATTATATAAAGATATTCAATTAAGAATTTTATTTGACGAAGACAGGAAAAATTATTTGAGGAAAATATTTTATAAAATAAAAGATATATTATCAGAAAGTACCAAATAATGAAGCATAAGAATCAAATGTTGAAGTAGAAGTAGAAGAACCAAATGTTGCAAATCTGCAATATAGAAAATTTCAAGTAACCTGGAATCAAAAGACGGAGGCGAATCATTGCCAAAACTAACCAGAAAGAGAAAACAAACAAGAAAAGGATTGAAATTTACAATTGACATTAACTTCACATAAAAAGCAAATGGAAATCTTTGAGATGAAGAAGAAATACAAAACTAAAGAGAAAAAAAAGGAAGAAGAGCACTATTACAAATAAAAATGCAGTAAGAGAAGTATTTGAAAAAAACAAAACAAAACAAAACAAAATAAAAAGAAATATGAATATTCTTCCGACTCAGAGGTGCAAATGTCACTTCACAATAATAGCAGCCATTTAAGTTATTGTGAAATTGATGCAATTAAAAATACAATGAGTTTTTCAGAAACTAAAGAAGAGTTTTTTTGTTAAAGAGACTGACATTATAAGGAAACTTTCCAATTCAATGCAAGGCGGCTCTGCTAGATTTAAGAACTTTGTGAGCTTCTCAACCGATTTACGTGATTTAATGTTGCATTATAATATGTAACATAAAAGCGATCCAGCTTTAAAAAAATTGGTTTCTTTTTTACTTTTTTATGTTATGGTTAATTATAAGTTAAAGGATTTGTGCTTGATTTTTATTTTTATCCAAAGGAGACAAAGATCCGATATGCAGACTTTTGCCCAACTAGGACAAAAATATAAGTCTTCTTACAAACTCCTTCTGATGACGGGTAGACCCAGAAACACGTGTCAGGGAGTGGTAAAAGACTCAAATTAAATCGAAACGCAACCGTCATTTATTTTAAAAATATTAGTCAAATATTGTACCTTGCCTTAGTTTTTTTTCTGTTAGGTATTTAACTGTCGTTTTATATTTACAGATAATGGCCTTAGTCGTCCTAATGCCTTGACAAATTTAATATGAATGCTGCAATAAAAAGTATGACATTGCACGTACACAAAGTGTGGACTATTGCCTCCATCTGCCCTATATGGTTTTTGAAAACTTTAATACAGCTCTTATAAAGTACCATAAAACAATAAAAAAGGCGTAATTTTTGTTAAAAAATATGATAAAAAAATTTAAAATAAAATAACGAAAACCAAAGTGAAATTTATTCAGGTCTATAGTATATTTTCGAAATGAAATCCACCTGCTTTTACTGGACTAGCAAATGTCCAATTGTCTTCTTGAATGTTAAGGGATAATGTCTAACAATGTTACAAGAATCAATAATTATGTCGATTAATTCTTGTCATGTATTTATAATTTATAGATAAACCATTTCTTTCAATCAGCTTCATATAGAATAGTTGGTTAAAGTCAGGGATCTGGAATGCATCCATACATGGGGACACTCGCGTCTTATCCACCTATTTCCGTGGCATGTGGCATGAAGATGTTGACAAGCAACAACAGATAAATATGGTGAAGTTTTTTTGTATATAGATACATTGGC